ACCCCCCCCCCCCCCCCCTGATCCCTCAACCCAAGACTCAAAGCAAACACTAAAGGCATCACACCGTAAACCCCGAACCCGCAGTCCTAAACACTGAACCGTATGCTTAGATTTTGCGTATATGGAAACTACACGCGCACATACGCATACCCTCCCTACGTCAGTGAATGAGCAAATACACAAATCCATAATTTGTACATGTATATACATACATGCCCATGTACTGGTTCATGAAATGTAGCTTATGTATTTGTGTAAACCTATCTTTCTATCTATCTATCGATCTATCTATGTCTATCTATCTACCTGTGCACCTATCTGTCTATCTATCTATCTATCTATCTATCGATCTATCTATCTATCTATCTATCTATCTATCTATCTATCTATCTATATATCTATCTAGATATCTATCTATCTGTCTATCTCTTTATCTATCTATCTATCTATCCATCTATCTATCTATCTATGTATCTATGTATCTATCTATCTATCTTTCTATCTATCTGTCTATCTGTCGACCATACCTGTCTATCTATCTACCCGATCTCTCGATCCATCGATCTGTCTATATATCTATGTATCTGTCTGTCTATCTATCGATCTATCTATGTATCCATATATGTATGTGTATACTTTTGTGCATGTATATATATATATATAAAATATGATATAGATAGAACGAACGAAAACTTAAAACTATAGATATACATGTTTATGCATATACATGCGTGCATGTCTTTTTGGTTGTTTCTTTTCTGCATTTGTCTACAAGTGAAAAAATGTTGTTTCTTTTTTGCTCATTCATTCACTCACTCGTCCACGCACTGACTTATTCATTCAGTCTTTCATGTACGTGCATGTTTGTCCAACCGTATGTGTGTGTGTGTGTTTGTGTGATTGTGTGTGTTTTTTGCTTATACCTGTCAGTATATGTATACATACAGATATGTATATATATATATATATGTACACATAACTTAAAACATAATAAATATGTACTCGTCTCCCGGCTAAACCCTAGACTCCAAACTGTATCAATTTATAACCAAAGGAAGAGCCCTCTAAACCCTAAACCCTAAACCCTAAGCCCTAAACCCTAAACCGTAGCTGCAACGGTCATCCTGGGAGCCAAGGGGCCAAGGCCGGTCGTAGCTGGACCTCGGCGCTTTGAGGAGTTAGGGCTGGGAAAGTTTGGGGGTTGATTAGGGTTTAGGGTTTAGGGTTTGGGGTTTAGGGTTTAGGGTTTAGGGTTAGGGAAGTTTGGGGTTTAGGGTTAGTGAAGCTTAGGATTTAGGTAAGTTTAGGGTTTTGGGTCAGTTAAATTTAGGGTTTAGGGTCAGGTGCGTTTAAGGGTTAAGCTAAATTTGGGGTTTAGGGTTATGGAAGTTTAGGGTTTAGGGTGAGTGAACTATAGTGGGTTTTGGGTTGGGGTTGGGGGCTTGGGTTGAAGACGAATAGGAAGTCAAGGTTTAGGGTTAGGGTCTAGCTGATATACCTACTCTCTCCATCTATCTAAATAAATAAATAAATATATATATATATATATACATACATATCTATCTCCAGACACACCTAACTTATGTAATCGTACACGTGTATGTTCACGTATATATATATATATATATATATACATTTATTTGTTTTTTAAGTGTTATATATGTATACACACATATATGTATGTATGTGGAGAACATGTCTAGCTATGTCAACAGCACTACAGGCACAATGTAGGGGTGCGGGTCGGGCGGGGGCTCTAGGAGACTACCGGGAGTTTCAGTTTCGAGCAGTTGCCCTCTGTATAGGGGTTGCAAGGCCTTGGAAACTTAGCGCACAGCCCTAAACAATGAGATCCAGATTCATACTTAAAGGATCATGGGACTTAGTAAGTAGGGTTATAACTAAGGTAACTATACTTATAACCCCAATTAAAGGACTTATAACCATACTTACTAAGTCCCATGATCCTCCAAGTAGGGACACTCAGACG